AAACAATCGAAGAGCTCAACGGAAGTCACTCGAATGCGCCTATTTTCTTGTAATAAGTACTTTCATGGACCTAAACCAGATTTTCTTCTTTCTTTTTCCCTTTCTTCTCTTTTTTACTCATTGACTGTTGCCCCCACTACCAGAATTCACAATATAATAATAAAAGTAGAGGAGGAGAGTAGACCCCTTGCATGCTGTTTTCCCCGAATGGCCATTTAACCAACAGAAATGTTTTCATTTCCAAATTACACTTGCTCATTAAATCTTGCTGGAATCATGAATGGACAGCGAGAAGAAAATTAAATTGGCAAAAATAAATTTATTACCTTCACCAGAATGATGTTAACTCAACAGGCTCAGAACTTTTTTTTACTGTTGCTCAGATGCTGTTTCTAGCTGCTTGAAATGTAATAATCGTGAAAACGAGTAAATGCATTCTGATCTACTTGATTGTTAATTGAAAAGTTATGAGCGGACCAAAAGTTATTAACTCAGACAAAATGGATTATCATAGTTATTATTTTTACCATTGTTATCAACATTATCTTTGCTGTTAAACTTAATGGTTTGTTTTTTGCTGTTTGCTCAATAACATTCACAACATTGAACAAGAAGCGTAAAGAGGCAAACGATCAAGTTGCAAGTCAAGGGGAAAAGGTCAACAATCTTCCCACTAAAACAGTCAACTCTGGTTGGGTCTTTACTCGTCAATTATTATCATTCAATTTTCACTTTATTCATTTACTCATTTGTTCACTCATCATAAATGCATGCGAATAAATGTCATCAATTTAATCGTTTGCATCGGTTTACAGAGTGCAATCATGATTTATCCAGTGCAACAAATGATTCCTTTCCGATGATTATCATGAAGCAAAAATTAGGAACCGATATAACTTTTTCCTTGTTTTAACCAATTCTATTCGCAATGATTATTCTGATGGAATTGGTCAAAACAGATTACCATTAATATGATAAGGATAAGGTTTATTATCATCATCTTCTTTATGTAGTTGTACATGGTAAATCATCATCATGAGTAAAAAGGAAAGAAGAAGAAGAAAAAAAGAAATGGCGAAAATATGAAACTCGTAATTTGTTATAAAATCATTTACCATTAGTAAATTGGTTTTCCTTTAATCAGACAATTGAATGGTCTATTATATTCAATTTGCCACTCTTTTGATTATCATCATTATTAACTTTAGCCAAGGAATCAAAGTAAAGCCCAAACTGACCATTGATTTTTGTTGCAGTTGTTGTTGCTTCTCATGATTACTCACCATTGTTGCTCTGAATTATCAAAAGGAGAAAACAGATAATCATGGAAAAGAAGAAAAAAAAACATTTCAATATTGACTGTTATTCAATCAAGTAATTTATTGAACAATAAAATGAACATTTTAATCAACTTGAGATTATTAATAACTGTTGCTCTGATAATGGCATGAAATGAGGTAAACTTTCCTTGAATAACAATTGCCTCATGAGAGTCATCAATAGGAATTAGATTCATTGAACACACAAAAAGTAGACAAAACATTATCATGATCATGATTCTGAATGCGACTCAAACAAAGTGATAAATAATTGTAAAGATTACTTTTTTTTCTGCTGTAAAATGCCTTTAAATTTGTGCCTTTCATTAACTTTATTATTAAAGTCTGTAAATCTTTTGGTGAATAATAAATGCTGGCAAAAAAACTCCCAGAACAGTTGGAATGTGATATTGAAATAGTTATCATTTTGTTTTATTTTTTTTGTTCCCTTTTCTGTATTCTCTGAATCTTTCATTTTCTTGATATTTGCTCAATCATTTTTGTTTTTTGGGGTTCAATTGAGCAAAATGTTTCAAAAGTTGTCACAAATCAAAACAACATATTGAATGGTCAGCATAAGTTAGGTAAAAATGATGCACAAAACGTAACATCTTCAACATTGCTGTCAGTTTAATTCAACAATTTCATTTCACATTATTGATGAAAATGATGTGAATTTCCTGATGCTTTTTCATTCACGTTTTTTTACATTCAATTTTTGTTCTTTCTCTTTTTCTTGACCATTCTTTTGACCGTTTTCAAACTCTGTATTTTCAGCATTTCCCTTTAAATATCATTATCATTTAATATCAAACTTTTTTGATGCAACATTTCAAAAGTCTTGTCAATCTGTTGTTCCTTGCCATGTTGCTTCAGTCCATTTACTGACCAATCAAGTTTACTGTGTTTTACACTTGTAAGTCATGATTATGGATGGAAACAATTTAAACATTTTATGCTTGGACAAACAGTAACAAACCAAAGTAACATTTTTCATTCACTTGTGACTGGCGTTGTAAAGTGAAAATGGAAATGACTTATAACGAGTTCAGGATTCATCAATCGAGACAACATTTTACTATGTTTCAAGGGTAACTCAAACATAAATATGAAAAATCATTATCTGAATGATGCGCCTGTTTGGGTGATAACTCAAGAACGGTTGATACAAGAACTCATGTACTTTTGAGAAGGGAACAACTTTCCAAGATCTTTCCTACTCTGGTTGATGCTTGTTACAAGTTTGTCACAACTCAAAACCAAACTCGTCTAAGGATAATAACCACTCATACTTAGATATCTTTTGGGTAGTACGAGTCACCGACTTCAGCCAGTGTACAAGTTACCAGCAAATAACATCAGCAAGTCAAAAGCCAAATAACCGAGTGAACTCGAATGAACCCAAAAATTTGAAGTTGTTCGATTTTCTAAAGCCCACATTTAAGTCTGAGAAGTATCAACCGTTCCTGAGTTTCGACTGGAAACAGACTTAAAATAAATTAAAAAATATCCACTGATTCCATTGACTTTTAGTCTTAACAATTTTCTTGATTAACTGAAAAGTACGTAAATAATGAATGATAAAAGAAACAGTTTACTGGGAAAAGTTAATTTCACTGAAGATCAATATTTTACTGTGATATCAATGATGTACTTTGCTTAGTTTCAACTGTACATTGAAGCTTGTCAAGGCAATGATTTAAAATTGATTAACATAGCAATGATTGAAATAACCTTTTAATGAAATATTACATTTGAAAAGATTTATGCAAAATGTGATTTGATCTGTTTACTTCGCTCGAGAAAAGCTGAAAAGTCGTTGAGCTATGAATAATTGAAAAGATAAGTAAAAAGGTTGTGAGAAAAGTGTACATCATGTTAAGATTATCATTAATATACAGTTGGAACGGGTGATTATCAGGGTAAAAATGAAAATAGAAACGATGAAAATGAGGAAAAGGGAAAAGTTGTTCACCATAAAAGTGCCTTGAAGGTGAATATTGTGTAAACAGTAAATCTCTTTTCTCTTCACCTCCCTGTGAACAAGGCAAAATCACAAGTTGAATCTTGTTTCAATCAATAAAACCTAGCAACAGTATCATCATCATCATAACCATAATAATCATTATCATGTATAAAAACAAGGAACACAGACACACACAAAAAAGAGCCCAAACTGAGTCTCTACTGTTTCATCGCTCTCTCATCATCACCCTCTTTTGACCCAGGAAAGATAAACATTTTTCACTCATCATCTTCATCCCTGTCTTAAGGTGTTTACATAAGTTACGGCCAAAAGGCTCTATCAATCTCAACACTATTATAACCCAAAATATTTTCCCTCATCTTCCATCCAACATCAACATCACCTTATTTTGCCTTCTTATTATTATTTATTCACATTTTGCTTGCAAAAGCATTAAACTTGACTTTCTCTTCATTTTCATCCTTTTCATCATTCTTTCCTCTTCTCCTTGAAAAAATGTAAACACAACTTTGTAATGAAACATGAATAGTTGATTGCAAATCATGACAAATTTAATTTTCATTGCAACTTCTTTTTTTCCCATTTTGTTTCTTTTTCTTCTTCCTTATTCAACTATACTTTCTGTTCAATTTTTCATGGTAAAGCTTGAAAAATGTTGAAAGGAATAAAGAAATTCATGGAGAAAATTGATGATGAAAAACTCGAGATTAAACCTTTTCTCGCTCCTATCAATGGACTGATTCAGATTAAACTAATCTGGTAATCTTGAAAAATGTAAATTCATTTTCATCTCTTCTCTTCATCCTTTCAGATTTACCATTTTACATGGAAAAATCTTTTCCTGATGAAACGTTAAATTCAATGAAATGGGTTTACGTTTGAAGTTGAAGCTCAAAGGACACAGATTACTGGTTGAACCAGTATAGTCAATCAATACTGTTAACCTTTTCAAACGCTTTTTCGAGCTAATATCAATAGTGGAATGATTTAGTAATTTGTTTAAAAAAAGGTAATTTGCAAATTATTAAAATAATATTAAATTTTAATGTTCTGCCTCTCAATTATTTACAGGCAAAAATGAAAAGGGTTACCTCTTGGTTTCACAAAAGACGTAATGATACTCTTTTTGGGTTGACTGTGAAAAAAATGTAAATTACCAGATAATAAGGTTGTTTAAATGTCTTTTTTTCAACTAAATCATTATATAATCATTTACTGTCGCATTAATAGTTTATAGTAAATTGATTAATAAGACGAGAAGTAACTGTTAGTTAATTGGTGTTTCCTGCATTCAATTCATGCTTTCTGGTTAACCAGTTACTTGGGTTATCCAGGTTTACCATCACTCTTGATTTGCTTTCAACTGAATAAATGGAAATAATTTTCTCGCAATTTGAATCCTAACAAATTGATTGAAATTTTGAAAGAAACAAATCTTTTAATTTTGATTAGTTTAGGTTGAAACAATTAAGAAGTGAGTTGATGGTTGAACATCAAATGTTTAGCAATGGAAGAATCTGAAAGGTTTAAATTTTGGACTCGATTACAAGCTTAACGTTTTGGAATTGGGTTTTAATGGTTAAATTGTGCATTTTAATTGAGATTAAATGTTCAACAATTAACTCTGATTAGCGAATTAACTCTATTGGCTCCATCTAGTGTTCAATTAAACAGTGACAGAGGCTAGACATGTGGAATCATTGTTCTTGTCAGACGATTAAGTAAAGTGTTTGTATTTTAAGTTTGAAATTATTCTTGGTTATTCAACATTTTGTGAATAAACAATCAATTAAGTTTGTTTTATTGATTATTTTCCATTCTTTATTTGTTCAATATTTATTTTAAAGTCTGTTACCATTTGTCTTTTATTGCTATTTTGCTTTTTGTGGAGGCGTTCTTTATTCAATCTTCATCATGTTTTCCTTTACCTCTTTTGGCTTCTTTTCGTATACACACACACACACCATGTTATGTATATACTGAAAATTACTAATTAATGGCTTTTTCTTTTCTCTTTGCCTTCATGGAAATGGCCTTAACCATGGTAAGATGTATATAACCTTTTAAGTATATTTAGATGAAAAGCTTTAACTTAAATTTACATTGATTAGTTCATTGAGTTGTCATTGATAATGATAATGATGATGTTGATGTTTGATGGTGATGACTGAAAATAAAGGAGGAAACATGTAAAAATTGATTGGTATTTCCGCTTGGAACACATACAGACAAAGAGTAAAACTTATCAATATTGAGCTAATAATAATGCTAATAATAACCTTTGCTTTCCCACTAGACAACTTAAACAAGATTCTCATTTGACAGGTTTCTTGTTGTGTTCATAAACTTTCATTAATAATAATATTAATATTTTTTTTATATCATTTCTCATTAGACTTTGCTGGTCAACTAATCATCTCACAATAAATATTGATGTCAACACTTGGATAGAGCAAAATGGAAACACAAATGGCAACTGAATAACTGTAAATACGAGCAAGAGTAAACTCTTAACCTGATTACTTTACATTATATGGATTTTTTTTAAAAAAAAAGCTCAACTGAAAGAAACGGATGTCATTGATGAACAAAAACTGAGTAACTACAAAATTTGTAAAGAATAAAGCAAAGAATAAGGAAAAGATTTCTTCCTGGTGCAAAATAGCAAAGATTTTTCATCAAATGATCAACATGAAAGTAAATAGAGGAAAGAAAATTGATCTCCAAAATAAGGTAAAACAAAGAGACAGAGAAGATGAATTATCGATTCGTGAAACATGAAAAGGTCGAGTAATTAAGAAAAAGCTAGTCCATAATGATGGATCGGAAGTCAATGATCAACAAGGAAAAGAAGTGAAAACAAAGACAAAGCAATTTGATGCATAAATTTGGATATTTCCCAGTTAACATACAAAGAAATATGTTCAATTTTTACATAATACCCTGATCACAGCAGTATCTTAAGATGATGATGATGATGATCATCATCATGAAATCATTTTGAGAATGGAAAGGCAGGAAATTAAGTAATATGGTTAAGGCCTAATATTTATATTTGATATGAATGTGCATGAAAATGGATGAACTGGATATTGACCATGTAAAGCTAAATGGACTCAAAGCCTTTAACATTGAAGACTCACCATGACCACCTCAACCATCATCATAATCATCATCGTCATCATCATTTTTTTACAAATGCAATGAATAAAATGGAAAAGGGAAGAAACAAAAAAAGTAGAAAAAAAAGGAAACGGAAAAAATTGACTAATATCCGGATTTATGATTAGTCTTTGACTATGAAAGGTAATGAGAATGGAAACTGAAAGTAAACATGAAAACAATTGGATGGAAACAAGATTCAACTCTACTTTTACCGTGTTATTTCATCGTCATCACCATTTTTTACTTTCACTTGTCTATTTGAGGCAATAAATTTTGCACAATACAATGATTGTTGAAGAAGAAGCAGAAAAAAAACAATCGGAAATACAAGCAATTAAAAGGTGGAAAAAGGAGTTTATTATTTACCATTGACTGCATTTTCACCGAGAAAAAAAAGATTACAAATTTGTATTTCAAATTGAATCCCTTTTCATCAATATTTTATCCTGAAAAATTGTAATTTTTCAGACTCTTGTTTTGTGTCAACAGCATTAAGTGATTTTGTCTTTTGCTGGTAAAGTATTTTATTTTTTTACCAAGTAATACTTGCATTAGATATTTGATACTTTTTGTTTGATGCTAAACAAAACAAGATATAAAAAGGTAAACCAAGATGTGGAAGTGCAAGAATTGAATGCAAGAAATGAGGGAATGAAGAGTATCAAAGAGATTCAGTTTCAATACGCTTTTATCAGTCAGTTTTTATCATGTTCAACCTCAACATTTTTTTCCCCAAAGTAATCTGAGCATTCTGTAAATTGATGTAAATAGACTGATAACTAAATTATTAACATTGAAAAGGGAAAAACACTTTTTTAGCTGCTTATTTCAATGTTAATCATCATCATCATGGCAACACTTTTCCCAATCCCAAGTCATTTACACTTTCTAAGATTATTCAGGTTTACAGGTGACTTGGTCTGAATCAAAGCTCTCTTCAAATCCATTTCATATTTTGTTCACCCTTTTATGATGTTCCTTGGTGATGATTCTGATTAGTTTTACTGTTGTTTGATGAGTTTACAGAGTAATACGGGAAAAAAAGAGGAAACAAGAAATGCTAAAAATTGTATCAAAAAGTCATCCAAGGAAAACCATTTCATTATTAACATGTTATCTAATCAAAAACTGTGAACCTCATTTCACGGTGAAAAAAGCAGCTGAACCTAAAAATTATCACAATGGTTTCTTGATTAAAAGGCTTCTCTAAAGTTCACTATCAAAGCTCATCATCCTTTTCATCAGCATTTCAACAACTTGAAAATTTCACATTTATTTTGATAATTTCAACCCTTTTTCCCATTTACTTTTCATCTTTTCATCTTTAACTTTTACACTTTACTCAATCATTTGATTACAATATTTACAATCCTTAATTTCACTGCAACTCTTAACACTCTTTAATTCATGTGTAATCATTTTAATCAACTAATAGTCAAAGTGGTAACAACCTTTCCTTGTTTACATTTGATTATCTAAACCCAAAAATTTAACCCAAAAGTTTAACCCACAAAATTGTATCTGGTTAAGGGAATCATTAGTTAATGTTTAGAAATGTGTTTTTACTTTTCACTGATTTTCAATGTAATATTTTGTTTCATGTTTCAAATTATCATGTTGACTTGTTTGAATAATGTTCAATATTATAAAGTAAATAAGTTGAAAGGTAAAAATACAGCGATTCATTTGGGTTGAGAGTAAAAAGGCTTCAGGAATTGTATCTTTTAGTTTTTCCTTTTTTTGGTGTTCATCCAGTTTAATGTGAGTTTGCCTTAAGGTTTTGATGAACACCAATTGAATAGTGTTCAATTTAAAGGGTTCAACCATTGAATTGGTACAAGCAATAACAAGGGAAAAAGGTATGCAATGAAGACAGGAAAAACAAAATAATGGCCATTCAATGTAACTCTACTATTAGATGACTTTTGAGAGATTTTTTTTTCTACTTCTTTCAACCCAAAAATAATGTTCATTTTGTTTCTGTTTGATTTTATCATTAATTGACTCTAGTGACTGATTTGGAGAGTTTTAATAGGTAAACTAAAACGCTTCAAGGCTTGATTGAAGGATGAACAAGCAAAGGGAAGATGAAAGATGGTGAAAGTTAAGATTGATGGTTAAATGTATTAGTCAAAGATGAGGGAAAAGGTAACAATATGATTACTTTGGGCTGTTGAAAATAATTAAAGTAAAAGAAAAGGTTGATCAGTGGAGGAAATGAATGGTTACATTTGATTAACCTAAGGATATAAAAATGTTCAAGTTTACATTATTCATTGCGACTGTCTGCTTCAATGTTTACATGGTTGGCTTTTCACCTTAGTGGTCAGCATAATTAGTGGGCAACTTGAGGAGTTGGCAATGAAAGTTGAATAGATTTTTAGTGTTAAATATAAGAAATAGAAAAGGTTTAGCAAAATCGAGTTTCTACATTTGAATTTGTTAACTAAGATATTTATTAGATATAACATTATGCATCATTAATTAGAGATAATTATTCACGAATTTTGACGATAGCATTTGAAAAATAAAACCAATTGCTTATTAAAACTGAAAATGGTTTAGTGTTTGAAAAATACTCAGCAATGGCTTCTGAATAAGTCAAAGTGTTTAATAAGAAATGGTAAGATGAAAATAATGCAAAGTGAAAATTTATTTATGGAAGTGGTTTAAGAGTACATTAGTTAGTCTTAAAATAACGAGTTTCAAACTAGATTTTTATCATGTATTTATACAGTTCATTTATTGAATAACTTATTGAGCGAATTTGCAACAAGAATTTCCTTTTCTTCAGAAGATACTGATAGCGAAGTCCCTGTGTTTAGTCAATCGCACTATCAACAGTAAATTGATTGAGTAGATCGGAGATCGAGTAGTTCTGTCTGATCAACAAATTGTTCCCGAAGAAAGAAAAGAAAATGATCTCAATTTTGGAAGTTATCAGATAAGTGAGGACTTTCTTGGGACGGTGACAATCATCATGGAAAGATATTAAGAAATTATTAAATTGACGCACCAACAGCAGCTAATAAACGATTTTATATCAGGTTATATACACTGTGAGTTTGCTGATACATTCATTGAAGCAAAACCACAGAAATTGAACAAGAATAATACGAAAAACTGAACATTTTTCTATTCTGAATTCTTTATTTGTTCAATTCAATTTTCTGAACTATTTTTTAACCCAAAAAAGCTTTTGTTTTGCATCCTTGTTTCATAACTGGAAAGGCACAAAAATGTTTCCAAAAATATTGATTGGACTTGCTTTGTCTCAACTCATTTTTCAGATAAAATCTGAAGCTGATTAGGTTTACATTTTTAACCTTTTATTTTTTTGATATTTTGCATTATTATTGCAACAATAAACTGATCAGTGATTGAAGTTGATGCATTTCTCATTGACATTTAGTTTGATTCATTTAAACAGATTCACTTTTAACCAATGCTGTATCACCTTAACAATTATCATTAGTTGATCATTATCACTGGTTGTCACTGTCAATGGTTAAATGTCATTCAATCATCTAATGAGTAAAGTTAAAAAGCAAAATTATCATCAGGATGATTCCATGTTATTCATGTTTCCTGAATTCGTGACTTAAACTCAAATTAGCTTGTTATGCTTTTATATTGAGCTTCAAATTTTCATCATCATCATGAGCCTCATTTTTGTTTCAATAAGACAGTCTAAATGAAATTGAAAGATGATAAAGATGATTAGGGAAGATTTAATGGAAACTAGTCAGGGAATGTCAAAGCATCTTCCTTGTTAGTTTCACCCTAATTTCATCTCTCAACATAATCATTTTCATTCTCATTATTATCACACTTATTATTTGAGTTTAACGTTTTTTTTCACCTCAAGATAAGATTACCTTTGTACATTAACCTGTCAACATAATTACTTATCTTAAATGTGTGATACAATTAGGATATTTGGGTTATTTTGGTTTTTCTGGTTTCCTTCAGTTTTCACCTCAAGTCAACCAGTTTGATATGAATATTTTGTTAGACCAACATTTTCAATGATTTATCTGTTTATTTGTTTCTATTGATTTATCGCCAATTTTAATCAACTTTCACCTGGAAATGTTGACATTGGACTAATATTTTGTCAACTCTTCACTTGTATTGCATTTGACGTTTTTTGATCCAAAAGTGTATCCATTTGATTTATTAATCATCTTTCAGTGTTGTTATTTTTTAAGTGTCAACATGTAAGATGTTTCCAGGTTTGCTAATTATAATGGGTTGTTAATTAGCAGAGAAGCTTGGGATACAAAGTAATTAGTTTTTCAAGTTGACTAATTGTTGAGCTCAATACATTTTACATTTCACATTATATGCCTTTGATATTTTCATTATGAATAAAAGAGACTCAATTTGTTTACTTCAACTTTAATGGTTGACTTTATTTTTTAAATTGTTGCCATGATTTATTGATTTCTCATTTATACAATTTTGAAACATTAACAAGTAACAGGCCAGTCTTCAATAGAGATTAGTTGACAAATCAAAGTCATTTTAGACCAGACTAATGACCAGATAATGAGACACCTGAGACTTTGGCTCATTTAATAAAGGGAATCAACAGTTGAATCAACATACAAATATTTCAATTGAATAATGTCAAGCCAAGCTTGTGAGCCAATGTCAATTTTGGGTTCAAAATGTCCAACTTCCATTTCATGATTACAGGATTGCTTTCCAAATGATGAGTGTGTATTATTTTCGTACACAAGAGCTGAAACAACGTCACTTATATTTTCGATATCATGAGTCGATTATAAGATTTTCATTTTGATAGTTGAGGAAACAATCCAAGTTTCAGCTTGTGACTGTTGTTTTGAAAGATCAGATTCTTGTCTCGTGCATGTTAGTTTATAAATCATTTTAGATCAATTTTCGTTCTCAGAGGAAAATAATCCAAATTTTCAGTATTGATGTGATTCATTTTTCACGAAAATATCATGAAAATCATTTAAAATGTTTAAAACCATTTTTGATTTGCTGATCTGTTTGGGGCGCCATCTAGTGGGTAAAATAAAATTTCGACAAGTTTCATTTCATTAGGTTTTTAAGGATTGCAATTAAGGTTTAAACAATTTATAAGTTTTTAGTCTCAATTTCGGATGTTATTTTTTTGTAAAATCAAATTGAGTAGAATTGAATTCGCAATCTTGATTTATTTATCTAAAATAAGCTCATTCGATGGATTCATACAATGAATGAAAAATGCCCCATAATAGTAATTTGCGAGCTTCATCAAAACTGTGCTCATTTGAATGATGAATGTTACAATTAGATAAGATTTTGCAATGATCTATGTTATCGATTTTGAAAAAAGTATTCATTGAAAATTACGCCTTCAGAAAGACACCTTTGAAAACCAAATAGAGGTCAATTGATTAAATGATCTTGAATGATCTTGAGGTTCAAAACTAACACTTGAATCATCAGATATTAATAGTTGGGATATGAAGTCTTTAACATGTGAGCACAAATAGGCGTGAAAATTGGTTTAAATCCTCTGTATATTTTGTTATGCACTGAATGAAGCATGAAAGAAGAGAAAAATTAGATCATCAGAGTTGAATAGAAATAAAACAAACCCAGTTAGTTAACAGGCTTACCCAATTGATTAACACGTTGTAAAATTGTAATCAAAATGGAAACTTTTAGTATGGCAATTAAAGCTAAAGCTTTCAATGTGAAAATGAAAACAAGTTCATTTCTTTAGATTATGTTTACAGTAAAACCTCGCTGCACTCACTTGGAGTTTTGTGGACCGGCGTTTTTGTAGAGTTGTGTTTTACTTTATGTGATATTTATGGTAACTCCAGTTGAAATAGTATACAAAGAGTCCATTTACTTAACCTTGTTTCACCAACGATAACAATTTTTATGATTCATAAATTGTTAATCTTAACTTCTGTAATGGTTATAATTACCAAATTGCTTTGGGTTCACAAAAAGATGTTTTGACTGTGTTTTGTTCGTAGTAAAATCCAAAAGATATTCTTACACCTTCTTCTTGCTTTTAGACACACAAATGTACAAGATCAAGAATTGACAGATTGACAGCGATTTTATTATCATTTAGTAAATCAATAGTTGATATTAAAAGTAACAATTTGTAGATGATGTAAAATATTGTTTTGATTATTGTTGCTCTTTTTACGTTATTTTCTACTATCGTTAGATGGCGTGACCTTTCGATCAACTGTTTGGGGGAATAAAGGTTTGAGGGGAAAAATACATTTTGCCAGGTTTATACTTTTGAACTGATTAATTTATTGTGAGAGATGTATTTATTTCATTAATTATTGGTATTGGTTTTGTTATTTTGTTTTTTGTTAATTATCATTTTTTTCGATGATCATCAGAATGTTAATAAGGGTAAGTAAATGGACCTTTTTTTACTTAGAGCTTCCACTCCCTATCGTTGTGTTTTATTCGACTCATGTTTATTTGTTTTTTTATCTCTATTTTGTTATTATGTCTTGTGTTGATTATTTATTATTTTTTTACTTGCTTTTCTAGAATTTTGACAAACGACTTAGATGAAAATTGAGCTGAGAGGCTTAAAAGTTCGTTAATCACTACCTTGGTTCAATAAATTTGATTATGTATTACCCTGTTGGCTGGCCAAAGAATATTGCCCTAGATTTGAAAAGACGGTATCTGAAAGATGAACTGTCTGGTGATGTTCCGAAAGAAAAAATTCTGGATATATCCTCTAATAATGAAAGAAATTTAATCCTCATTTTAACCAATATAAGCCTTAGGATATGGTTTTGTAAGGTGAGTTGTGTTTTTGTTATCTGATGGTTAAGTAACTTGATTGTCTAGTTTTAGCGCTGTCAATTGATACCTTTTGATGACTGGTTTTCTGCTATCAAGTGCTTTTCCTTATTCGTCATTCTTTTATTTTTCTATGCTATTCTCACCTTGATCTAACCATTCTTTGATTTGCTTTATTTTTATTTTCACTAGCCTTCAGTCGAGATTGTTTTTCATACACGAAATGAAAATTCAATTCGTACTTTTGGATACAATTTAAGTGCTGATTGGAGGCCAGATTCTGGAACAATAGTGGTACAAACAACAGAGGATTATCTTCTTTTCTATAAGTGCGGTTTAAAAGATCCAAATGAAGAACTGTTTCGCCAAGAGGATTCAAATGTTGCCGGTTTCCGGCGAGAATCAGCCGAGTTATTTATTCAAGAAAAGATTCCCTCTTTATATCTTGTATTCACCATCTCCATCAAAATCCATCCCGGTATTTCTAGGTTAGCATCAAAACTAAACGTCACGATAAACTTGATCTCTCCTTCAAAACTGCTTCAATCAATTTTTAGGATTAATATCTTGTCATCATCCTAATATCAACAATTACTCACCCGATTAGCCTCATTCTCCTTCATCCCACTCTTGCATATTCACTTTACTTTTCCAACCTATCCAATCATCTTTAGCAGAACCATGATTTCCACTATCTTTTTTTACAATTGCTATTTTCCGCTCTTTCCTTCATCCATCAACCGTCATACACTCTTTCTACTTTTCATCCAAATTTCATCTCTAGCAGTACTTTATGCTATTGATCCTTCAAATTTTTAGTGAAACACGAAATTTTGTTCCGCATTGCTGAGTCTTTGATGCTCCGTTAAACAGCATCTAGTCATCTGTGTAGCGCAAGCACTATTTGCTATTTTTCTTCAACATCTATCAGAGCTTTAACCTTGCTTCTTGTTTTTCTCGTGAAATTTTCCTCGTTTTCAACGATCAAGTTTTCTCAAAGTTCCATCTCTAGATAATTTTTTTCTGATCTAATCATGTTATTTTCTTTAACAGCATTATGTCCGCCGAAGAAGAAGTGGTGGTCTGTACAAAAACGTCCGAAATTTTCGGAATTAATTGGGACGGTACAATGGATTACGATTTTAATTTCAAAATCAGTGATATCCTGCCATTCGCTACAACCGAGACAGATTACACCATTTCGGATATTAAATATTCTTCCATGATAGGTGGATTTTCAATTGTTTTTGCCAATGGCCGTGGTGGCTTTTTACCTCTTTTGGCTCAATCTGAAACGGATGAATCAGAAGCTAAATATCGACCATCGCGTCTTCGATTTGTACCTGATGTTGACAATTTTGTGTGCACAGCCATCAATCATAAATATCAATTACTAGCTTTCGGACTTCGTAATGCGGAAGGCCTTCTCTGTTGTGTCGATGATGTTAATGCTTCAGTATTAATAAGTCATCGTCTTATGCTTTCACCAAGTTCCTTTCCTAATGCATCATCAACTGCCGGTCCAATGTGTTGTGTGCAATGGTCACCTGATTCTAATGTGATTGCTACTTCTTGGGAAAAAGGTGGTTTTGCTCTTTGGAGTGTTTTTGGTGCTCTGTTAGCTTGCTCATTGTCGTGGGACTATGGTATTGTTGATAATTGTCGATCAAATTTAAATGCTTTCTCACACCTTGCTTGGGGACGAGAAGGTTATCAATTATGGATGGCTGTTAAAAATTCTACTAGTGAATTTTTCGACTCTGTTCATCAACTAAGTTTGGCTAAAAGTGTCCTAGCTTGCAATCCATCAGTAATGGGATCTCCCGGTGAAGATGTATTACTCATTACTGAAGATCGTATCTATCTAGGAGTTGGTGCTGCTGCTGTAACTCCAGAGGTCCAAATTAATGGAGCAGAAAATCAAGGTAACTCAGGAGGCCGGAGTGGGAATCTCGGTGGTGATATTGATCATAATATAGACAATTTACCATCAACAAATGCGGCTTCTGATGTTTCTTGGGAACGTCAACCTGTTGAAATTGGTAATCATCAATGGATTATCATTCAAATGCCCTCATCTTACTTAGCCAATAATTGGCCCATTCGATTAGCAGCAATAAACAGCAAGGGCAATTGTATCGCCATCGCAGGCTCAAATGGATTTGCTCATTATAGCCTTGTTACTCGCAAATGGAAACTGTTTGGCAATGAAACCCAAGAAAAAGATTTTGAAGTGAGAGGTGGTCTACTTTGGTGGAATGATTATATTGTTATGTCTTGCTACAATCTGGTTATCGGCAATTATGAGATTCGAGCTTACCCACAGAAAATGAAATTGGATAATCAGTTTTTAAAATTTATTAAAGTGCCAGCAGAAGTTCATCTAATGTCTGTTTTAGATAATCGACTGCTCACCCTACTTTTAGACGGTACCATTCACTTGTTCAATTTTGATATTGCTCATTCCAATTCCTCATCAACGACCCACCATAATAACCATCATCATCTCAATCATCCCAATCATGGAACCAATTTAGCTCGTATACAGTTTATAAATGAAATTATTGTTGACATGCTGAATGTTCCTCCTCAATGTGTTACGTCCATAGTCTTGTCCACAATTCATAACGAACCTCTGGTTAAAGCATCTGATCCCTCTATTTTGTTAAACATTTGTGGACGCTTGTTTCTTCTGGAACGAAAAAATACAACTGATACTGGAAATAATAGTGCCAGTGGTGTTGGTAGCATAGAGTCCAATTCAATCTCTACTAGTGTCAATAATTCGACACTTCATGGCCAAAGCTCAATCACCTCTAATAATAGTATTACCTCTAATGGAATAGATCATGAAAGTGAAGAAAATGACGGCACTCCAATAATGTACAGAATTGTTTCCAAACTTGCTTCTGGCGTTGAAAATATTTGGATTTCTCGACCAACAAACTTGGTTATTCAGTCGAACGTGATAGCTCCAAGTATAAGCAGCAGTAGCAGTCATTTGAGTCAAAGCAATAGCAGCATAAACTCAAGCATTAGTAGTAAAAGTGAAACCCAGGAGCCAACTCGAATTCTGTCCAATAGTAGTATATCGGCTTTAAATAATTCAGATCGTCCACATTTAACGAATGCTCTTTGGTTATCATGTGGAAGCAACGGAATGGGCGTTTGGTTACCATTACTTCCATCTTCGGACGAGAAAACTTTCCCAAGTTCAAGAGCTCATAATTTTATGTCCAAACGTATAATGTTACCGATTAATACTCACATTTATCCTTTAGGTTTGTCTATTGAATTTTTAAATTATCTCTTTTACTTCCTAATCAGAAATGCTAATTTTCCGGTTCCGTGTTTTCTCTTACCTTGATTTAAAATTTGGATGGTTGAACTTATTGTTTTTTCTTTCTGTTTTGTCTTCCTTCATCATGGTTTTTCTCATGCATATATAGCTGTGTTATTCAGAGATGCTGTTGTCCTTGGAGCTGAAAATGATACCATTTTTGTTGGTAAAAGCTGCCCAATCAACTTACCCTTTTGTGTTATCTCTCGAACAAGCCAAGTTTATATTCATCATATTCTTCGAGGCCTTCTTAGACAAAAGTATGTTAATCTTGATTAAAGCTGTCATTAATAATTAATTTTAATTCACAAATCTAATATAAATTTGTTATTTTTCATTCTAGCCTCGGAATTCAAGCCTGGGAAATCGCCAATTCTTGCACAAATCTTCCATATTTTCCACATTCCCTTGAATTGCTTTTACATGAAGTACTTGAAGAGGAAGCAACTTCATCCCAACCAATTCCTGATGCACTATTACCTCGAGTGATTGATTTTATTCGTGAATTCCCATTCTTTTTGGAGACTGTTGTGCATTGCGCTCGTAAGACTGAACTGGCCCTTTGGCCTCACCTTTTCACCGTTGTCGGTAACCCGAAAGATCTTTTCCAAAAATGTTTAGATGAGGATAGGTTGGAAACAGCCGCTTCTTTTATCATTATTTTACAAAATTTAGAAAAATCATCTGTTAGTCGTCAATATGCAACTAAATTACTGGAAAATGTCAAAAATCATTGTCGTTGGTCATTAGCAAAAGATCTTGTTCGTTTTCTGAGCGCCATCGACTCTACAGACTTTGAATCTCCAGTTACTAAAACATCACCTCCTGTATCTGTACCTGTAAGCCATGCATCCCATCACAACAGCCATACAATCAAATATATGCTTTCCAATTCCCTTTCCAACACTAGTAGCAGTGACCTACCTGATGGCCATCATTTGAATAACTGTGTTGCTTCTTTGCCTCAGCGTAAACGAACCCAAAGCTCAAGTAGCACACTGGCCTTACATTCACCATCTTCAGCATCAACTTATTCCAACACTACTTCCTCTTCATCAACTTCAGGAATTGCTAGTGCTTCATTGGGAACACCTTCTTCCAGTAGTCCACCTTTGAGCTCATCATCTGCTGAATGTATACCCAATAGCATTCCTCTTAAAGCCAGAGACAGGTGATTGTGAGCAAGAAAATTTACAATTACCTTCACCGCCACCGTCATCATCATCTGCATCATTTCGGCCTCTTTGGTGATCAAGTAACAAAAAAAGGAGTTAATATATAAAAGAGCATTAACAAGTTCATTCCTTATTACTTTAAAAGATAAACCTCTAAAAAGTAAATCAAATCAAAAATAAAAAGCTGAGAAAATATTAAAATGAAGATAGATCTTTACCATCATGTCAATCAGACAGAAAAACAACAAAAATGATTTGTATCTTTCATCTTTTCTTTTTCTGTTTCATCTTGTCAATTGTTGAAACCAGAAACCATTTGTACAATTCGATTCATCTTTACAATAATGTCCTTAAACCTTATATTATGATTATTATTATTATTATAATTATTGATGCCTTTATACAATTACTCTCATTCTTGTCACCCACAATCATTGAAACCAGAAAATAATGAAAATCAAGAATCAATCTGAAAACCTTTGATATTTCCAACTTTTTCCTCCTTGAGGTGATAAATTATTGAATTTCAATTATTGCAATCTCTGACCTGAAAAAGTCATGATATAGTAGCACATCTAAAAACGCGATTAATCAAGATATCTTAATAGTTGATCGTTTGTTTAAAAAATATGAATAAATGTCTACAAATTTATCAAAACTTGAAAATAAAGTTTGAATAAAATTTGTATCACACCTAATATAGTAATATCTAAGTTAATCAATTTAGTCTCGAAATTCATCTTTATTCATTGTCCATTGATTAATTATCGGTATAACTTTGGCTTTGATTAGATCTATTGTATTTTCATTATATTTTGATAATAGGTAAAAATAAATTATTTAGTCTTCGACATTATGAAGTTATACTATATGATATAATATATGCAACTATTATTAAATTAGCTTATTCTTACGATTAATGGAGTTCTTTCATAATTTGGTTCATCAGTTTTAGTTGGTAAATGTATCGAATTGACATAAATATTAATAGTTGATAGATCAAAACAAATGCGATATCAATAATATCTGCTAATATTAGTCTCTTTTTGAAAGCGAGGCTGATTAATTATCATGTTATTATTGAACCCAAAACAATCCGAGACAAAATTACACAGAAAAATGTTCATATTTTTATAAATATAGTAAATGAATGATCGTCCAATAGATTCAGCAAAAATGTGATTTCTTTATTGAATCTCTTAAAATCTTTGGATAAAGATGCTAAACGAGTTCCAAGTTTTAATCAGTGGTGAAAATTGCTTCAATTAAGGTTTTCTCATCATTCTGTACCCAATAAAATGAGATTCAGATGTAAGATCATACAATTTCATCTAAAATAGCGAATCGAATAAAATAGAGGATCTAAACGGGCGAGAAAAAGCTCCAACTCTACCTCAATTTTAAATTCCCTCGTCGTAATAATTGGTGTCCAGGGGCATAAGATAATTGTTTAATTGATTGTTTATCAATGTGATACAATACCAAGGTTACTAATTAATTATGGTGACTCGAATATAAGAACGTAATGATCTTGTTAACGTGAGTTAATTGACATTTAAACAAGAAGCGAAGGAAAAGAAACCAGAAAGCAAAAGAAGTCATGAAAAGGATCAATAATTTTAATTGTGATATGTTTAATAAACGATCATCATAGTTTCATGTTGCCGCAGGGTGAGGTGTTGTTTGATTGCGTTTAAAGGCTTGATTAACTACAATTACAAGCACTAAATAGTAACCATTGTCTCCTTGTTTTCTGGGTCGATAAGCTGTTAAAGGGTTTTGTTTATTTTTCAAAACAAATCGACTAGCAAGGTCATTTTTGAACCTCTTTTCAGCCAAATTGAAAGCTAAATTTGACATTTCATAATCTTGTGAATAAGCTTCTGAGTAAGCAAAATTGAATTACATGAAAATCAAAAGCTACAAAAATTGAACAATCTTCATGAGATCCAAGGCCAATGGTAAATGTTCAACTGCAAATCAAATGGCAAGAGTCTTTACATTTCTGTTCATCTTTAGCTGTTAAAATGTCTCGAGCAAACCATCAATTAATCTAACAATTTATCATGCTGCCTGGTTAAATAAGCAAATTGGATAATACTTGAGGCATTAGAGACGACTCTTCAATTCCTGGATTGGATTAGGAATCAACATTGAACCAATTTACTCAGTTATATTTATTCATTGTTTTGTCGGTCCATTAACCTCACGCTGTTAAAATTGAAACAATGTGTATCAATTTTGATGTCTCAACAATAATTGATATTGCAACAAGTGTAACCTCAAGTGGACAGCCAATCGCCTGTATATGCGGCTACTACAATTTACTGTTATCAAACCTGTAATAATGAACTGGTGAGATGTTTGTCTATTGACCTTTCAATGGTTCAAACAATCAAATTGAATAAATGATCAAAACCATAAACAGAAGGTAAGTGTAGAGAAATAGGTGTTTACTATTATTATTGGCCGATGTAATGGTGAAGAGAGCTGCAAAAAAAGGTTGATTGAAAGGAAAGCAAATCAATGTGGTAATAATAATAAATCAGCAAGTAACTCTTCAATCCCTTAAAAGGAAATTGAAATTTCAAGATGAAGATGAGGATGTTAAAGATGACTTGCTATGAATAAAGTAATGTTGAAAGGCGTAGGTCTGTTGATAACAAAATGAAGTTGAAAACAAAATGGAAAGGCCTTACATTCAAATCATAATGGAATCAAATTTTGAATCATTTACACGTTTATCCATTTAAAACAATCTATTTAATCTTTTCAATCGACTTTCATTAATTTGAATAATCCCATAATCACATTAATTGTCGATTGCTTCAAGCAAATCAAAGTGCAAATGATTAGCAGAAATTGGGAAAAGTGATACAAAAACCAAAGGTAAAAAATAACCAAATTTTTAATCTTCACCTTAAGTTAAAAACAGTATTAGCTGTAAACATCACTCCTTTATTTTGATTTTTATCGTTGAAGCTTTCATTTTCAGTTAATAAGAATGACAATTTACACACAATTTAATGTATTAGTGGAGTTAATCTGCTTTCATTTTAGATACTATTTAAATGTTTAATAATGTGATGATGAACTCAATATTGCTTGTTAGGATTACAGGAATCTTGTTGCTTTTGCTAACAAATTTGGCTCCTTTAGTTGACAATTTGTCGTAATAACGATGATTTAATTGGTTCAATGATTGGTTGATTTAGATTCAGTCATCACAATGGTTATGTAAATGATAAACATGAGAGGCTGTTTGTTACCAGAAAAAAAAACAAAGTAAAACTTTCAATATTTATTACAAATCTTGCTTTCAATTTCTTACTCTACATCATGTATCGTCATCTCCTCCTTATCCCTCCTTCATCCCTCCTTCAGTCTGTCTTCATTTTCATCTTTCTAACCTTTTCTTCTCCCGGTTACTCACTCAATCTCTAATCTTCTTCTTCTCACTAAATTACTTAAAATAATTGATATAAGAAAGAAAAGTTACCCTGAAATTTTATTTCTTATTCGATGTGAATTCAAAGTATCCACTCATCATTCTCATATCTTATTACTATTTAACATTTAACAGCAACTTTAGTTATTGGCTTTAGTTAAATGAAACATCTTTAAAGTGTAAAGAAAATTGAAAGTTAACTCTTTTCTCTTCCTCTTATTAATTGTAGGTTGATTGTTATAAATCATTTACGGGTATCATTTCAATTTTGTGTGAGTGTATCAGTTGAAGCTTGGAAGAAGTATTTACAAGAAAAGGTTAACACTACCTTTATGTATACTGTGTTGAAACAAAATTCAATTTCAAGGTGATCAGTAACAACAGCAACAGCAACAACAACGGCAATAGTAATCATCTCACCATTGTTCAATTGTTTGGTGTCTTTTTTCTTGTAAACCCATCAGGAATTAACTTTTCACAAAAAAATTAAATGAAATGTTACACCTTAGTTTATTTATCACTGATAACAAATCTGGTAATCTTGGTTTGTTGCTGTTCATGTTGACCAGTTTTCTGGTTCATATAACCCTGGGTGCAGCCAATTCTCGGTCAACACGGAGTAACCTGGAAAACCTTGCTTCTCTCGCCTTTGAACACGGAGTTAAAGTTCGTGAATTTGGTTCCTGTCGAACACCGAAACCAGAAATTGTCTATGTAAATAGTAACAACCCATCCAAGGTATACCTTCCAAGGGGAACAATACTCCACCGATGTTCAGATGCAACAGGCTGTTGTCCACAAGCCTACCAATCATGTCGTCCAATATCAACTCAAATGGTTGACCTTTACTTTTTTACTGTTACCCTTGTAGCAAATAATAGTCAATTATCATCGTCGTCATCTTCATCGTCCTCTTTTTCGTCCTACACACCAAGCCATCACCACCATCGACATAAGAAACCTCGTCAACAGCAAAACATTGAAAAGTTAACTTATGTCAACCACACTAAATGTGCTTGTGTTGATCTCAATTCATCTGACGATGAATCCATCAATGAAATCTAAGTGATCACTTCATCGCCATCTTTTCAAATTGTCATCGCCTTTGCCATCAAATTTGTAATCAATGTTGTCATCGTGTTTGCCTTCATTACTTTTTTTTCGCATCATCCTTGTCACCATCATTGACCATCATTGACCGCTACTGCTTCCACTTTTGTTAATTGGCTCTTCTAGTTTAATTATAAAAGTTTATAAAAAAATCAATTAATATACAATTACTATTCTTAACTAATTAACATTATTATACAATTATTTACAATCAATATAAAAATGAAACCTTTCACAGTAAAAAGTATTTTTTCCACTTATTTTGGTATGCGTTTTGGGTTTGCTATTGAGATTACCTAAGATTGATTTACATAACGACACCTTTTTAAGTTAACAATCAATTGAATAAGCATCATTTGACTCATTTACATGTTACAATTGAACAAGATTTAATAATCAACTGTCAATCAATCGTTTGTCAATTGTTTTCATCATCTTCAGTTAATTCTATTTTAATTCCATTACAGTTGATTATTTGATCATGATTAACCTTCTGTCTATATCATTACTCCTCTTCATAATGCATTTATTTTATTTTTAAAACATTTTGCTTCTTTTCAATCATTCAATTGATTACAAAAGTAATTTGGCGATGAAAAGTTTCTAATCAAATGATTAAAAATCAAAACAATCAAAGCAACAATGAAAAACAACTAAATCTTTCATTTTTTTAAATATTAGCTAATAACTAAATATTTACTTACTATTCAATTGATATTAAATATTGCTAATAATAGGTAGACCAAAAATAAAGGGTTGCAATAGTAACAAGCTTAAGATGCAAGTCATTAGAAGCAAATTATTTCAACTTGAAGATTCTAATTTTGATTATTAAATCTCTATCAATTGTACTAAACACACTTTGCCTATTATGGTCTAAAGATCAAAAGCTGTACAATACCTGAGATCGGTTAAAAACCTTGTCCAAGAATTTCTGAAGAACCGTCCAACTCAAACAAAAGGAATCCAGACTGAATGCTGAATTTCAAAGACTCATTTCCTTGTGAATAAATGAAATTGGTGTAAAAAAAGGTTGATTGAGTTATTATTATGTTGCTACAATAGATGGTTAAATATGAAACTCACGATTACTCAAGTTGTTACACCGATCCGCCCTTTAGAGTCAATCAGATGCACTTCAATGTTAACCAAGGCTTACAAAGTTTAGATTGCATGAGACGATAGCGTGCTGATATGAGAATGAATTGATGAATGAAGATGATGAAGAGGACGGGAAATAAGAAAAGAGACAAAAACGGCAAATCCCGTTAAGAAACGCCAGTGATGTTTCCTTTTGAAATGTTCATTGTATCTCTCAACAGCAAAACGTAATCTTGACATTGAAATAAATTTCAAAGAATGAAGCACCTTGATTGGGGTCAGGGTTGATTCTCTCAAATGGCTTGGAAACAGTTGATAACATCCCAGGAGATCTAATAATTAATCATATTGAAAACGTTAATTAGTAATTTCCCCCCCCAATATATCACTTACCTTTGGATACTTTTAGCCAAATGGATGTTTAAAATGGTAGCTTCATTTGGGTAGCAAAGCTTGTTTTGTCTCTCATGTTATTGATTTTAATGTTTTTTCACCATAAATTTTCTTGATTGGGCTTGGATTTTTCCTCAATTTCAACAAGCTATCATGTTGAGATGATCAATTTCCGTACAAGGAGTTGGATTAGATTAATTATTATCTAATAAATAAAG